AATCCCAGGGTTGTCAAACGAGAGCTCTTCCCACGCGAGCGGCTCAGTCGCCTCCAGCTGACAGCCCTGAGCTCACTGTGAGAGCCCTGAGCTCATCGTGACAGCCCTGAGCTCACTGTGAGAGCCCTGAGTGCCATGGGTGCACCCCCTTCTCTCCGCTGGTCCTCGGCTCCTTCCCACCCCGCTGGGTGCTTGCGGATGCCCTTTAAAACCTGAAGCTGTACACATAGTCAGGTGGTCGGTCTAGAGTCGTTGTTAGTGATTCGGAGATAAATTCTCAGCTAAAGGCAGAACAAATTCTGAGTTAACAAATCCATACTTCTACTGGCCTGGCCTGGAGGCTGATCGTTAGCTCATGAACTTCCTCCTCAGAGAGGTGGGCTCAGCCTGTTCTGAGGTTGCTCGTGGGGCGAGAGCTGGGAGGGTTTGTTGGACCCTGCTCGTACTGACCTAGCAAGGAACGGGTTGGCAAGCTCCAGCAGCTGGAGATGGGAGATCAGCATTTAGCCAGGAGGGCAGGTCACCACCACCTTCAGAGCTGGCAGATGCTCTGCCGTGTCGGATCTTTAAATCAGCCTGCAGCATCTGTTCCTCTAGATCCAGCTCAAGCAGAAATTATTGTGCAGGAGGAAGGTACCAGTAAGTGCAACTGTGTGTCAGACCACATCATCATCGGGTCCTCCCGGAGCTCAGAGTGCAGAGGGGTGTCTGCCCAGGGTGTCAGAACAGGCTGTCAGTCCGCGAGAGACGCAGCCTGGAGGAATGGAGGTAAGAAGCCAGCATCTGCCTGCAAAAGGCTTACCTTCATGCTACGCGCTCCTCATTTCCCACCAGATGCATCAAATCCGTCTCTGCATCCACCTCGTGTTGATTTTCCAAGGATGTATATGAAATCTCTGACAGTACTGAAGACCTGTTTAAAAAAATCCGTGACTGCCTTTATTTTCTTGAAGATGTTCTTTTACATCTGGGCAAAACTAAGGTAGCCACAGTGGAAACTGCGTGCCGAAATTACACTTTGTGTCACAAAGGATGAAAAATATCACGCAGAAAGTACTGTTATACTGTAAGTTTATAAAATAGGTACACATTCTTAGTTTTGGAATATTGACAGATATATTGAGCTACTCTCCACGCTAATGTTCTCTGTCTATTTTTTCCTTTTAAAGTATTTTAAAAGGAATTAAAATAGAGAAAATAAAACCCATCAACATTGTAAGTGTGTAAGGAAGAGTAAGGTACCTCATCGGGCTCAGAAGTCGTGTACACACAGTAACACTGTTTCAGAATAAGCTAATATTTGTAGGGCGGGGGTGTGGAAAACGAACATGTCATCCCGGGGTGTGCGGATGCGGTCACATCACGCAGTGGTGATGCTATCTAGAACGCGCTGTCTCAGAGATACCCAGCACGCACCTGGACAAGGCCCTGAGCAACCTCATCTAACGCTGGTGTTGCCTCTGCTTTGAGCGGGGTGGGACCGGAGACCTCCAGAGGTCTTTAGACCTCGGATCTGAATTCTGCTTTGGGTCTGTGTTAATGCCCATGAAGCTGAATTCCTTGACTTGACTTGATAGGACTTGTCCTGTCCTTGGAGAGTCCTCTGGGATTGCATAACGAGGCCCCAGCTAGTACAGTATGGGGAAGAAACTTGGGAGACCCTTATCCGTGGGCTTCGTTTGGGTTGCTCCCTCAGGCTGGCTCAGACTTAGAGCCCTCTTGGCGGTGGGGCAGTGACGGGGGAGAGACGCCTGTGTTGTGGCGTAGTTGAGGAGGGGGTGGGGGTGTGGTGGGGTGGGGGCTGGCCCTGAAGTGGTGGTGGTGGTCTGCGTGGCGTGGCTTTTGGGGGGTCTGGTGCTGAATCTGGCGTGCTGCAGACCTGTTCAGGCCAGCCAGGGCCTGGCTCCTTGCACCCCCAGCACTGCCCTGCGGAATGGCCTGACCGAAACGCGGCACTCGTGGTGGCTGGGGCGTTCTCCTGTCCCTGTGCTAGGGCATGAGGGGAGCAGGTACCCAGCAGATGCGCTGGCTTGGCTCACCAGAGCCGCAGTACGTCCTAGCTCAGCGTCTCCTGCACAGCCATGCTGGAAAAGCTGTTCTTACACTGCCACTCATGCTGCAAATCAGATCTAGTTTGCCCCAGAATTAATATGCAAAGACTGTGTCTCCAGGTCACGTAGGCTAAGCACACTGAGCCGAGATCCCCGTGAAGCCCCGCGTCTCACGCTGTCCTCCAGCCCTTCTTCTCCCAAGCTTCTCTCAAACGTCTTTCTCCTTAGAAAGGCAAACGGAGCCATTTCACCTGGGACCAACAGTGCAGAGCCCAAATTCCCAGCCTGAGACACTTTGCATTTACTGTTTCTTGTGGATCATGGCTGAATTCTCTCCTGTCCCTTCCTTGCTGTCATGTACATCACAGGGATAAAAGTTTTTGGAGCTGTCATTGGCCGTCAGAATAATCTGAGAAATGCAATAACTCCACAACTGGCTCTGTGTTTTGGGAAGATGACTGATGTGTCTGAGTCAAGCGTTACTCCATCATAGGGAAATCTGTTGCAAGGATTTCAGGGAATGGAGGAGTGGATTTGAAAGAGCTGAGAGTGCATCAAAGACAGATAGGACAGGGCCATGCCAGACTTGTCTGCCTTCATGTACCCCCAGAGCTCACAGCGTCAACGCGAGTCGCAGGCACTAGTCTGGGGTGTCAGAGAAGTAAAGAGGTTGCAGAACTCTAGAGAGACAAAATAGATGTGCTCAGGACAGAACAATAAAAGCTTTAGCCTAAGTACAAACAAGAACATTACAAACTAGTTTTGATGTATGAAAAAAATTATTTTCTTTGAGATACTTCTGAAATTATAAAAAGTCTTTTGGAAGCTTAAATGCAACAGAGCTAATGGGCTGTTACACATTAGACTGACGTCTTTCATTGTTTGTTCTCAGAGAAAAGACTTTATGTTAAACATTCTTTTGATTCCCCACACCCTCTCCAGTTTTGCATACCAGATCTTAAAAAAAAAACACCCTAAAAGCCTCAAATGCAGCATTTTTATTGTTAAGAGCTTCCATTTTTTTCTAGACTCTTGTACCTTTGGTCCCACACTGGACAGATTTGCCGTGCTGCTGGGCACACAAATTGTTTCATTGTTGTGGGAGGAGGAATGGGGGGAAGGCAGAGGAAGAAAGGTTGGCACTGGGTTGAGTGTGAGTCACTGACAAAAGCCACCACCAGATTTGGGAGCATCGTCCTGTGATCATCGTCTACCAGCTACCATCCTCTACCTCTACACAGCTCTCCAAGTGCCCGCTGGCTTCAGTGAGGTGTTGCACTGAGCTGCTTGTCTGAGGACATGGGAGTCTCTTCAATTCTGGTGCTGCAGTTTCTAGGGGAAAAATTCAGTTACTGCATTTTAGCTCTTGTTACAAGCCCTGGGTTAAGAAACGTCTTCATTATTTTCCAGTCCAGCTTCCTGATGGATGTTCTTCAGTTGAAAACAAGGCAAAGATTGCAGGAAGAGGTGATTTCTTGTATCAGAGCAACTGACATTCCTGCAGAAACAGGGCAGTGCTTGGGCACTCTAAGCTCTCCTTCAAGCCTGGAGCAGAAGCAGGCCACTCCAGATTCTTCTCCAGCAGTGGTTTACCAGTTTGGGTTGGGCAAAATTATTGTGGCTGTGAATGTGGAAGAACCCAGACTCTTTGATCCTCCGCTTCTTACATGTTGCTTTACAATCTGGCTTTACTGTGGAGCAAGCCAACTGGATCCCTGGGTGAGAAACTCATGCTCGCTGTCAGGGGAGTGGTGGAAAAGGGAACCAGGCTGGGCTCCATCCTTAAGCAATAGCGGGGTTGTGACAGTCACTGCTGTGGTCCATGTTCACCCATAGCTCTCCCAAAATATTCCACAATACCTTCCACTCCTCCTTTTATGCTTTCTGCGTTTCAATATCCTTGTACAAAAGGCTGTGAGGAAAACAGGACAACCCCCTCTGCTTTTCTGCTGTGCAGGGAAGCAGTTTTGTCTCTGTTTCTCGTGTCTGGAAGAGGGTTGCTGGACTGTGAAGAGAGCTGGGAGCCGTCCTGCTGATACATCAATACAAGGTTACATCCCTGAATACTGGCCAGGCTGGATACAGCAAAGGGCAATGTAAATGTGAATAATAATAATAAAACAACAACTCAGAAAGTTTAGTAACTAGACTGCAACTGTCCTTCTGGGGCAGCATGTCTTTTCATGACTGCTATGTGAAGTCTGCGGAAGGGAGACTTCCAATGAGACTCTGGTGATTTTTCATAAGTGTGGAGCCAGGACAGACTTAGAGGGGGTGAGGAAGAACTTCAGGCGTGGGCTTTTGGAGTCATTGGTTCTTTAGACTTGGGAGTCAAACAGAAGCCCGCCTCCTAGCCAGACACACGGCCTTTGTCAAGGCTGGGATGGTTTCCATGATCTGAACTTTTCAAACTTCCATAAAGACACGCTCAGGTCTGGGAGGAGTGGTCGTGTGTGTGTGGGCAGCAACAGCATGACCAGGGAGGGCAGAAGGCAGATATGCTGTTGGAGGTGATGGACACTGCAGCCCAGAGAAGGATGCACGTCCCCTGACAGGGCAGACATCCCCACGCTGCCAGCCCAGAGCTTTGCCTTCTCTGGTCAGAGAAGCAACAATTCTGGGCAAGGCTTATTGTTGGGGTCGATGTAGCTTGAGAGTTAGCATCACTAGGCCGCTTAAGCAAAACAGTTAGCGTAGCTGGACAGCCCGCTGGAAAGGACAGCGAAGAATAAACATGATGTGGGTTAGCAAAAACAAGATGTGTTCAAGGACGTGGAGGCAGTCTGTTGCTATTGACGTTAGTGCGTAGTTACCAATTATGAGGGAATATGGGGCATGTGAGCAGCGCGTGATTTATGTCTGTAGCCTATCCGAATAAGTGTGATCGCGTGTGCAGATATGAAAAATGTATATAACCACGCAAGGGGAGCAATAAAGGGAATCGACTGTGCATTGTATCAATATGTGAGAGTTGCTCCTGTCCCTGCACGGATGCTGAAACTCGGCAGCTTATGTCAGGGACACTTCTGCTTTTAGAAGAAGCAACCACGCAAGACTGGCTCAAGTTTCAGTCTAGCAATGGGATGCAAGGCCTTGGCTGCTTTACTGGGTGATGATCAGGTGCATCTCCAAGAGAAGCTGCACCTGACCCATCATGGCTCTGTTTCTTCTAGGGCTACCCCACTCATCTTCCCTAGCTGAGATTTTTTTTCTGTAGGGGACTGATAGCTAGCAGGGAGTCAGTGTTGGCCATCACAGATGATCAGTTTGGGATTGTTGCATTCTGTAAGCATGGAAAGAGTCAGAGCAGATTCAATTCTTTCTCTCTGTGAACTGCAGGGTGGTGTTACCTTCAGCTGTCTGCGATCTGGCTGTTCTGGCCCTTCCCCTGCAACTGGAGTCAGCAGCGGAAATCCTGTAATCGTGATTGCCTTCTCTTTGCTCTTCGTGGTGTGAAATGGGGGCTGTGATCCAATGAATGTAGACTTGACAGGGAAAATACTTGCAAATCCAACATTAATCAGGCAGTTTAAATCAAATCTCTGATCCTCCCCCAAGACACCATTACATAATCATTATGTAAATGGTCTCAAAAAATCTATGAAATGCCTCTTGTAAGAATACCCCACCTCCAACGTGGAGTTATTGTGAAAATGAACTGAAGAGACCAAAAATACTGCCAAGCAGCTATCAGGAGGAAGCCCAAATCCCCACAAAGGAGCCATTGTAAATAAGACCATAATAAATTGAGGAATCG